TATCGATTGGACAACGTTCAAGACCGCGATAGAGGAAGCCGTGTCGTCGGTAGAAGGGCTTCCACCGTTGGAGGAATATAACTTCCTCTCCAATCTGATCTTGGACAGCGCGCTTCGAGCTCAAACTCGGCCGGTTCCTGGAACGTCTTTGCGTAGGAAACCTCCTTCCCCTTGGTGGGACCACCAATGCACTGAGGTTTATCGTAAAAAGTCCGACGCGTTTAAGCTTTTCCGGAAACGTGGAACACCCGTGTATTTCAAAGCGTACTTGGCTCTTGAACGCGAACTCAAGAGCCTCATCAAAGCCAAGAAACGCGGATACTGGCGGCAATTCGTGGACGGATTATCGCGTGAAACGTCGATGAATACGCTTTGGAACGCGGCGCGAAGGATGCGTAACCGGTCTTCGAACAACGAGAGCGAGGAGTACTCAGATCGTTGGATTCTCAAGTTCGCGCGAAAAGTATGTCCTGATTCCGTGCCGGCACGGATGATTCCTCGCGAAACGACGAATTCGGTAGACGAGATCAGCCAGCCTTTTTCAATGCTGGAGCTCTCACTCGCGCTCCTTTCATGTGGCAATTCGGCTCCGGGGGCTGATAGAATCAAGTTCAATTTGTTGAAGAACCTCCCAGACGTCGCTAAGAGGCGCATGTTGAACTTGTTTTGTCAGCTCCTAGAGCTCAGTATTGTTCCGGATGATTGGAGGCAAGTGAGAGTTATAGCCATTAAAAAGCCTGGAAAACCCGCTTCAGATCATAACTCGTATCGTCCCATCGCGATGTTATCGTGCATTCGAAAATTGTTGGAGAAAATGATCCTTTTTCGCCTCGACAAATGGGTTGAGACGAACCACCTACTCTCAGATACTCAATTTGGTTACCGTAGGGGCAAGGGAACGAACGACTGTCTCGCGTTGCTTTCCACAGAAATTCAGTTGGCTTTTGCTAAAAAAGAGCAAATGGCTTCTGTGTTCTTGGATATTAAGGGGGCTTTTGATTCAGTATCGGTTGAAGTCCTTTCAGACAAACTCCACGCTTGTGGCCTTTCTCCATTAATTAATAACTTTTTGTACAATTTGCTGTCAGAGAAACATATGAGTTTTTCTCATGGAAACTCTACAGCTTCTCGATTTAGTTACATGGGTCTCCCCCAGGGCTCATGTTTAAGCCCCCTTTTGTATAATTTCTACGTCAGAGAAATTGATAATTGTCTAAGTGACAACTGCACGCTGAGACAACTTGCAGATGACGGAGTAGTGTCTATGAAAGGGCCCAGAGAGGCTGACCTGCAAGGACCCTTACAGGATACCCTAGACAATTTGTCTACTTGGGCTATTCAGCTAGGTATCGAATTCTCCACGGAGAAAACTGAGTTGGTTGTTTTTTCTAGGAAGCATAGCCCAGCACAACCGAAGCTTCAACTTTTGGGTAGGCCGATCACTCATTCCATGTCTTTCAAATATCTTGGGGTCTGGTTCGATTCCAAATGCACCTGGAGATCCCACATTGAGTATCTGAGACGAAAATGCCAACAAAGGATCAATTTTCTTCGAACAATTACCGGAACGTGGTGGGGAGCCCATCCACAAGATCTTCTGACGTTGTACCGGACAACGATTTTATCGGTTTTAGAGTACGGTAGTTTTTGCTTCCAGTCGGCAGCTAAAACGCACATCATCAAGCTGGAACGGATCCAGTATCGTTGTCTTCGTATCGCGTTAGGATGCATGCACTCGACTCATACTATGAGTCTTGAAGTGCTGGCGGGCATGTTGCCACTCTCTGATCGGTTTTCGGAATTATCCCTCAGGCTCCTCACCCGTTGTGAAATTATGAACCCACTGGTGATTGCAAACTTTGAGAAGCTTTTTGAGCTAAACCCTCAAACTCATTTTATGTCATTGTACTACGTGTACATAACACTGGATGTCAGCCCTTCACAGCATAATCCTCATCGTGTATGCTTCTCCGACTTCGGCAATTCAGTTAGTTTTGATTTATCCATGACGCGGGAGATTCGTGGGATCCCAGAACATCATCGTTCTATGATTGTTCCGTCAATTTACGCTGCAAAGTTTGGCCAAGTTGATTCCGCAAGATCGTTCTTCACAGATGGATCACTAATAGAGTCGTCCGCTGGTTTTGGTATTTTTAACGAATTTCATAGCGCCTCTCGAATGCTTCAAGCTCCTTGTTCCGTATATGTTGCTGAGCTGGCGGCAATATACTATACGCTAGAAACGATCGCCTCACTTCCACCAGATCACTATTTTATTTTTACGGATAGTCTCAGTTCTGTCGAGGCTATTCGCTCCATGAGGCCGGTAAAGCACTCCTCGTATTTTCTCATGAAAATACGAGAGCTTTTAAGTGCTTTATCTTTAAGATCTTTTGTCATCACCTTTGCATGGGTCCCATCTCATTGCTCGATTCCGGGCAATGAGATGGCGGACTCACTTGCTAAGGTGGGCGCTATGGAAGGCGATATTTACGATCGACAAATCGCCTACGATGAATTTTTCTTCATTTATCGTCAACAGTCACTCGTCAGCTGGCAGAATAAGTGGAGTGAAGGGAGTTTGGGACGATGGCTATATTCGATCATCCCTAAGGTGTCGAAGAGTCCTTGGTTCAAGGATGTGGGATGTGGGTCGAGACTTCATTCGTATGATGTCTCGCCTCATGTCCAATCACTATTCGTTAAACGCTCACTTGTTCCGTGTTGGGCTGAAGGACAGCAATCTCTGTGAATGTGGACAAGGTTACCAGGACGCAGATCACATTATTTGGTCTTGTGCTGAGCATCGCGGAGTCAGATCTGAACTGTACGATTCCCTTCGGGCTCGAGGTAGACAACCTAATGTTCCAGTTCGGGATATTTTGGCTAGACGCGATCTGGAGTTTATGAAACTCATATATGTTTACTTTAAGAATATTAACATTAGATTGTAAGTTTTATTAACCTTGTGTTTAGTTTGTATTTTGTACGTGTTGGGTTTTTTTTTATGTTTGTTTTCAAGATGAATAGAAATTAGTTCATGTTTTAGGATTAATTAAATATTTGTATCGTAAACCACATTTCAAACCTCCCTCTCCTTTTTCCCATCCAAAAAAATTGTAAATCTCCACTAACCACGAGACAACCGCGAGTATCCGGTCCAGCTCCTTTAACATTAAATATAAGACATAAATAATGTATAATGAAAATGATAACTCGGCTCTGTAAAGTTTATTCGATTGAGCCTGTACAAATAAAATAATTAATAAAAAAAAAAAAAAAAGATGCAGCCTATTTGCTAGGTACTTCTTAAGCGTCTTCTCGAATGACTCCCCATCGTAAGCAGAAATTGAGCGAACCGTCCGTGATGTGTCAACCGACGTCGTAAACATGGATGTTGTTGCCGTAGATGTATGGTTCTCTCTGTGATGAGTAAAACCAAATGATAATTTTCACCAGGTCCGAGTGTTATTCCATCTGCTGTCCTAAAAAAATTCTCCGATATCTTAGCTGCTCTTTGCTCTTCAACCTGCTCTTGCTCTTCAACCTGTCACTTCGTCAACAGAAATTTCCCGCACTATGGAAACGCTCTACTATGTTCCCTGTTTTCAAGAAAGGAGACAAACGCAATGTGGAAAACTACATTGGGATTACCTCGCTTGAGGTTGAATCTAAGTTGTTTGAGTTCGCTGATAAATGAGAAATTGTTTGCTTCCTGCAAGCATTACATAAGTTGATATCAACATGGTTTCTTTCCTGGCCGCTCCGTGAAAACTAATCTCGTCAGCTTTACGTCATTCTGTATGGAAAAAGTAAGCGAGAAACTTCAAGTGGATGCCATCTACACTAATCTTAAAGCAGCGTTTGATAGAGTTGTGCACGACGTTCTGCTATCAAAGCTTGAAAAAGTTGAATGTTCTGTTTCCTTCTGCAGCCGGCTTAGATCGTACCTCGTGCAACGTGCAAAGTGTTTTTTGCCGACGACTTGAAGATTCACCTAGTCGTTCGAGGCTATGCCTACTGTTTAGAACTACAAAACCTTCTTGAAATCTTTAATGATTGGTATGAACGTGATTTTATGGTCCTGCGCGTCTCAAAGTGCTGCGTAATTAGATTCCGTCGAACTAGGGCTGAGAAGCTCACATACACTCGGCACTTCTCAACCACGATCGACAAAGCTAGGCGTCAGCTTGGATTCATGTTCAAGATCTCTAAGGAATGTCGTGATTCTCTGTGTTTTAAAGCCCTTTACTGGAATTCGCGTGTGTTGTCTGGAATGGTGTGTTCGATTCGAAGCTGATCAACGCAAATTCGTCAGATACGCACTGCGCTATCTTCCATGGAGTGACCCGCTGAATTTGTCACCGTTTGCTGACCGCTGTCGTTTACTGGGTTTGGATACTCTTGCTAAGCGACGAAACATATCGCAGGTCGTTTTCGTTGCTAAAGTTCTGCTCGTAGAATATGATGTTCCTGAGTTACTGGCCAAAAATAATCTGTATGCTCCTGCCCGAACACTCCGTCCGAGAACCTTGCTACATGAAGTAGTACGCAACCAACTATGCTGCAAACAGTTCCTTTTTCGCCATGATTCATCAATTCAACGAAGCCTCTGACCTATTTGACTTTGACATCAATGGCTCCAGGTTTCGTCATCGTTTGCTGTCGGCCAATTTTTCAATTTTTAATGAGTGACTACATTTAGATTTAAGTGTTTCATTGAAACTATCAAGTCAGATGGACTATAATAATAATAATAATAATAATAATAATAATAATAATAATAATAAATAATAAATAAAGCGAATCAATAGTGTTCAGACAAAGTTAGCAGCATAAGATTCACACATGAAATAGATATATTTCACAATAAATGTGAAATGAAGTGTGACACACATGAAAAGAAAAAATAGTTTTAAGCTTGTTTTCATATGGTCAGATGAATAAAATTTAATAATAATAATTTCTAATTTATCAAATTTCTTTTATTCCTTTTCCAGTCTCCACGTGACGACCTCGATCTACCCGGTGCCAAGTATATGCGCCCAGGACCAAATCGCCGATTGGTTCGATTCGCTGGCCGAGTGCCTGCACTGGAACGTCCGCAAGCGACAAAAATGCTTGGACGAATTGTCCGACCTGACCGGTTCCGGAACGGAGGACAGCGCTATCGAGGAGATCGAACGCGGAATGGAGAACCTGGAGAGTTAGAAACCATCTCAGTGAGTGCCGGACCCCTTTTTTATGGTTCGCGCTCGTCGTGTCGGATGCTGGGCATAGATGGAACCCGCCACTACAACTGCAACTTACTGTGTACTATCGAATTGTGTTCTGTGAGAGTAACGTGTGGCACAAAATCATCGGTTCACGCCTTTTTTCGTTCTTCTTTGATGCCCACCTGTTTATGAGTTACCACAATTTTATTTTACGTTTTCTGGGAATCAAGTGACAAACCAGGGACTGCTTTCACGATAAAAAAAATAAATAAATGCTAGGTAAAGACTGTGAAGATTATGAGCAAGCGAGGGATGAGGTTAAGGATAGGCTTTTCGTATTTCAAATACAAAACAATAATCGGATGATCGTACTGTGTAGAAGCGTTCAGTTGGTCTTTTTCTGTGCATGTTAGCGAACTGAGTAGAGGTCAGGATGGATAGGATCTGGGAAGGTTCTACACCTATGAGGAAGGTCAACGAACGAGGAGTTGAGGAAGCTATTGCTAGTGATCTGTTCATTCCGAATTGGAGCCAAGTGCAGTGATTGTTCTAGGGAGAATCGTCTGACGAATATTTAATGAACTGTTCATGTTCAAGTTTGACTTAGAAAAAAAGAAAACAAAAAGGATATTAATTTAATGGAAAGACACACACACACACAGACAGAAGTGAGTTGAAGGTAAAAGAGTAAGACATGCTTGGCGTGAGTGTGAAATCGGAAAATCATAGGTGGTTAAAATGCATCTTTTTGTATTCTAGATGTAGGTTTTTACGTTAATATTTCATAAAAGTAAAACAATCCATACGTGAACATGAAGCTAAAGCCGCATGGATGGTAATGATATAATGAAAACAGGCAAATCAAAAACAATTGTTGAATTAGCTCCTAGAAAAGTTGATCTTTTTATTTTTTTTTACCGTGTATTTAATAAAAAAACGAAGAAAAAAAAAAGCGTTTGCCAAGCTCACGAAACTAAGAATTTCTTTTTTATCACAAGCCTTTAAACAAATAAAAAGTAAAGCACATCTTCTGTCATATTGCACGTCAAAATCAGATGAAAATCAATGAATTTAAATGTTATAAATTGCTTGGTTTGCAGAGTATGGGAACTAGGAGTAAGAAGGTCATCCTAACGATAGTCCGTTGATTATGCGATCCAGTGAATATTCATGGGAGTTTGTACATCGATTTGTAAGTTTTTACATTGTCTTCATGTTTCGTCATTCATCATTGAAATTAAAATTAAACCCCAACAGAAAATATTCAAGATTTTTTATTAATATTATTAATATTATATTAATTATTAAACATAATTTTTTGTATTTATCTTTTTTTTTTACTTTAACGAAGTCTTAAAGTTTTGAAGAGAACTTTCTAGAAGACTTCCTTAGAATACCATGCATAGATTCATGCTGAGTTAACATTAACCCGTAAAGTACCAGGACGAACGAATTTTTTTCAACAAACTAGTTCTCAGCAATGCCTCATTCGATTTTCATAAACTTGGATTTTTATTCAAGGGGAATAGTTGAACTAACTTCGTATGTACCACCCCCTTATAACCCTCCTCATTGATGGGAGTTGTACATATGTCTGTGTTTTTGTACCTTTTTAACCAGTTTGACCAAATGTTTTAAATATTCACGCGAATCGGTTGTCTGGTGCAGCAAATGATATCAGATAGATGAAATATGATTAGTAAGTCTTAATTTAGATATTTCCATATCGTATGGCTACGATATTATCGGTTCCGGGAGTTCCGGAGATCGGTTCTGTATGACATAGTAATATCTCAGGCAAAAGTATCTTGTAGCATGTCAAATCATGTCAAATAGGTAGAATCAAGTGAATGAAGATGATTTGAGATGATTTTGGCTAGTTTGGCATCGGTCCCAGAACGCGGATCTGTTCGACACGATTGAAGTGCATCCTCTTGGATGTAATATTAAAATTTATGTTTTGCTGTGTATAAATAGTGATGCCTTTCAATGACAGTCGGATCCTTGCGATAAATGCAAGAATGACAACTGTAAAAAAACCGAATACTTCATCATCTCTCAATAGTGATGGAGTAATAGGACATGCACGTAACTAAGGACACGGGATATACTACAATAGATCAAATTAATGGTCGCAGTGGTGTTAGGTCCCGAACAGAGGAAAAAAACGGCCTTAGCTAAAATATTCTGGAAATCTGGATCTGATACAGGTTCTCTGGAAGTCATTCTGGACTTATGATCCTGGCTAAAATATTCCATAGAGTGTGGCACTCCAAACCACTACAGCAACTACAATTCCAATCAAACATGAAGCTGAGGACACTTGCATCTACCGGGATCTGTTCCAGAGTTTTCCAGAAGTCATTTTGGACTTATGGTTATGACTAAAATACTCCATCCCTAGTACGAATCGTTCGTGGCAACTTCTATTCGACTTGTATCAGTCGTAAACAGGCTGCTTCTACTTTTCGAGATGGAAATGTGCTACTTGGGTTGAGTGTGATACGTTAAATTTCCACAGCAAATCCAATTGAATATTATTACGATGCCAATATAATATGACCCTGATGATTACTGCCACCTTCTGCGATCTGATTCAAGGGCCTCTTTGGGGAAGTCGAAATTAATCGTTATCCATATGATCGCTTGTATGAACAAGTGGTTCCCTGTAAATCATTCCAGACCAATGAGTGCGCCATAGAGTGCGACACATCAAATCACTATAGAACTTATATTGCCTATGGTGAATATCAAATTAGGTGAGCAGAAAGAGTGGGTCATGGATTAAACCTGGCAGAATATTGTGGAGCGTAACGAAGCAAAAACCGCGATAGAGCGGGTGAGAGCCAGAGGAGCCAACAACGAATCCTGTCAACGGTAGTCGGCTCTAGAGACGAAGAAGAGAATGCCGCAACAACCGGCGATATACACCTCCTCAGCGATATATCACGACGTCTGATTGGAGCAAGGATGAATCCAAAGATGCCTATGAAAGACGCGACTGGACAGTTGCTTACTGACCTCTATAACCAGTCGAAAGGTTGGAATTGTAAAACACTGTCCAGACTGGAGAGTTATAACATGTTATAACTCTGTAGTCTGAAAGTACTATAATATTCACTTGGGCTTGTCAGGAACATTAGTTCAAAATTACTTCCAGAGAACCGGAGGATCAGATCCCGTATGAAGGAATGTGGTCACAATTTCCTGAAGGATTGGCATTGTAATATTCACATGGGTAGGCTATGGTAATTTAATTTTTTGCGCTCTATGATATATTTTAGCCTCGTTTATTGGGCTGGAATGATTTCCGGAGAACCTGGATCAGATCGCGGATGGCAGGGATCGACTAAAAACTCAGAGTGGTGCAAAAAACACTGGTGCTACTCTAAAATAAGGGAGTGCGTCCCTTATATTTGGAAGGAGAAAGAGACTAAGGAGAGAGAGATTTCATATTTAGGAGAGAGTAGTAGGTCAGCTCAGGTGCTACTTACGTATAGCACAATCGAGTAGTGCACGGTGTTATCACGGGAGTAGCACTTTTCAATCGGGAGAGACGTGGCTTAGAGATTTACAAGAATGGCTGCATATTTTAGGCTAGGTGCATTTTTTTAAGAGATTTTTTTAAGATCGATGTGTAATTTTCTGCACAAAGGGGGTTAGCTCTGGTCGACATTCCGGCGAAAAATCTAAGCCAACCCGACACCAACCTGACTTCTATCAAACCCCAACCCGATGTTGACCCGGCATTGACCCGACATAAACCCAAAATTGACCCGACAATAACACGACATTGGGTCGACATCGACCTCAAATTAGCCTTACATTGATCCGACATCCGGTCGACATGTCTGTTCAGGACCATTTAGCAGGGTTTCTTCCACACTCCACTGTCGTATATCAAATGATAGTGAGTGACTCAATTGACAGTGATAATGAGCTTTCGAATGAGAAAGGGGCTCTTCAAATGATGGACGCGAGAGATTTTTTTTCACAGAATCGATTTAATAGTTGTATAGGTTCATCTTCAATCGAATGCTATGAAAATTAACAGCACTGATGCTAGCTATCCTACAACGCTACAGTTATAGAGGAGACACTGTCGGAGAAACAAAGAGAAAGAGACTTAACACCGTTGGAGCGGCAGCTCTCCAACACAAGAAGAATGAAATGTGCTGCACGATTTAAAATGCTCTTTCACGTCTCTTTGGAAATGAAAGTGCAGTCTCACAACAGCGTGTGTTTTACTCGCAAAAAATTGAGTAGCACCCGATCCCTGGCAGATGGTTATACTCTTTGGAATATTTTAGCTAGGATCGTTAGTTCAAAATGACTACCGGAGCATGGTGGCATACAGATTATATGCATCAGGGGCGATCCACGCTATATTTAGAGAAAACTAACCCCCTCCCCCTTTCATCACGTTTTTTTTATACCTAATGCATTGCTTGTCACAAAATCATAAACCTCCCCCCTCCTCCCTTAGAGTGTGACATAATATATGCATCACCCATTATAATATTCACCTCGGTTGAACATGCATGATTTTACATACTATATCGTTTCAAATATATCATTTCTAGTCATAATCCAGAATTTACGAAACCAGATACTGTAAGCCTTGAAATTGATGCCAATTTGTCTATATGACAATTAAATTATTTGAAATAATCGTTCATGGCAATATCCTATGATTTGATATGCAGTATGATTCATTTGCCTCAAATATGACTATGGCCTAAAGAACCGGATTACAAGATCCGTATTACCGTATCGTATTGCGGAATCTATGAAAGGGGATTCTGGAATCCCGGAACCGATGCCAATGTGACCATATGCCAAAGGAATTACCACAAATTATCTTTATTGACCTTATCTTATCGTGCTAACATGATTTGATATGCAACATGATTATTATACCGCGAATGTTACTGTGGGGTATAAAACCGGATTTCCCGGAACCGATGTCAATGTGCCCATATGTCATCAGATACACTAAAACCTGATTTCATTGATCATAGCTTGTCATTTTGGCATAATATGATAACATAACCTCAATGTAATTATATTCCAACAAACCGTTCGCCGGAATTCACAGATCCGCGTTCTGGGACCGACGCCAAACTAGCCAAAATCATCTCAAATCATCATCATTCACTTGATTTTACCTATTTGACATGCCACAAGATACTTTTGCCTGAGATATTACTATGTCATACAGAACCGATTTCCGGAACTCCCGGAACCGATAATATCGTAGCCATACGTTATGGAAATATCTAAATTAAGACTTACTAATCATATTTCATCTATCTGATATCATTTGCTGCACCAGACAACCGATTCGCGTGAAAATTTAAAACATTTGGTCAAACTGGTTAAAAAGGTACAAAATCACAGACATATTTACAACTCCCATCAACGAGGAGGGTTATAAGGGGGTGGTACATACGACAAAAGTTAGTTCAACTATTCTCCTTGCTTGAGCTTAAGCTTGAGCTTGATTGACCGCCCACGGTTGCTACTCTGTTACTGCCAGATCAGCTGTAATTACACAGAGAACCAATAGACGATGCTTGGGACTAGCAATCATCCTCAATGTGTAAAAACTGGTGATCTTAAATTAGGCAATACCAGCGCCGGCCGCGCCCGAACACAGGTCAAGAAAGGAATGTGAAGGATTGTGTTGACATGACACTCGCTTTGATGGAAGCCGAGAACACCTCTGCACTTCCACGAGGAATCACTGGGATGTTGGATAAGAGGGTTGGGTTTGCAGCAGGGTTCGTTTTGGTAAACGATAAGCTGAATTGATGCCCTAACGATCATATAACGCGAAGGAGCTTGGGACTAAACCCACGGTCTTCTGCTCAGTAAGCAAAAACGTTTGCCACTAGGCAGACGAGC